GTGTATTTCTGATTGTGAAGTCACCTCAAGGCATTTGAATATTGCAAACATACAAACTAGGAGGGGTGAGCCAGTCAACACCTCGAACAATCAATATGATAACAGTGTTTCAAGGACATATGTCCGTTTTGAAAAAGAATTTTCATCTATACCTTAGATCGACAACCCCTTACTTTCTAAACAGTAGTCCAAGTTCTACATTCTCCCACTCCAATCAAGTCACCCCTTGCTCATCTAAACTCCAACAGATGTGAGCTTAGTTTGTCCACATTTCTTCCTCAGACAACTCACCCATTCCAGGTATTAGTTAACGGTTTGCTGAACTGTCTTCATGCATTTACACCCTTCCTTAAATAACAAGATCAACACTGTGCACAGAATTCAAGATGTGGCCTCCCAATGCTGGATATAACTGAAGCATAACCTCTTTCCTTCTGCATGCTCTTTCATTCAGTTCTATCAAAAATTACAAAATCTAAGAAAGGGAATGAAACTGGATCAAACACCCAATATCAATCAGAAACAACAATGGTAAACCAAACCTATCCTGGAAGCTGAATCAAAGATGAGACACATGGCAGCCAGACATTGCCTGTAAAGTCTGTTCCCATGATTAAGACTATGTCCCAGACATCGCCACCACAATGCCAGAGCACGCCTGAATGGATAAAAATCCTGGAAACACCCTTCTTAACAGGACTGTGGGTACACCTATACCCCAAAGACTACAGTGGTTCAAGAAAGCTCATTGCCACCTTTTCAAGAGAAATTTGGGATGGGCAAATGATGCCCATCCAATGAACGATTACAAAAAATTCTACCAAATGCATTACAGGACTTCCCGATCCTGTCTCCATATGTGCATTTTCAATAGATATTGAACTGTATGGATTGCAAATCGTAGCTGATTACTCATCCACTCCAAGTTGCTGAAACAAACTGAAATACCAGTTAATTCAGGACAAACTGATCAATGAACCTGGAATTTTTTGTACGGTTATGACAGCAAGCCGTCACCTAAAGTGTGGCCATGTTCCTGAAAATTGTGACTTTAAGTAAACTGTTTTAAGTGAATCATAGGTTGCCATAGAAATCACTGTTCAAACTGGAGTCAAATTCCTTCAGACAATTTTAAAACAAAAAAATGCACAGCTTGAAATACTGCACATGTGCATTATCCTTATTCCTGGTTCAAATAATTAGCAAAATAAAATAAATCACTAAATATAAACACTGTGCAATCAAGTATAGTTGGAGATTTCACAGCCGTAAATAATTTTCAAACATTAAGTTGAAATGGCACCGTCCTAAATGCCTACATTAACTAAAATAACCTATAAAATAAACTTGAAATAAAATCTAAAGATAAATAGTGCTGATAATTCTAATTACACTCCCAAGGATATATCTGACCCAGTTCCATTTACTAGCAGCTGAAGCCAAAGCCCAGAACTACCTTCACCCACCAAACCTTGCCACTAGATGGAGCCCACAAATTCAGTGCAAGTTCAGAATGAAAGCAGAAAAGAGACTTTAAAAGGGAAGAGAGGGCAGAAATGGGAACAGGGGTGCGTGCATGATGTTGGTGGCAGAGTCAGAGGTTAGTGTGTAAACCAGTGGAAGGCCTGGGGTCTTCTACGTTAGGTGTGGGAGTGGAAGCCGGGGGAGACGGTCCAGTGAGCAGGCAGGCCACAGACCAGGAAATCCGTGGAAAACAACAATAAAGTGTGCAGCTCTCAAATGTCAAACATGCATTACCAATTTCTTTTTAATATCGTTAAAGCAAAACAACATGAACGGAGTCAATGGTAAGTGAGGACTTACTGAACCACACATCAAGCCAACAAATTACCATACAGATTATCCAAAACCATTCTAAAATAGATTAGAATTAAATGTAATCAGATCATTGCTATGTGAATCAGGCAGCTTAGTCAAAAACAATATTTGATCTGTTAAATACATACCATTTTCCCTGAAGCTCAGCAACCTCTTCACTCGATTCTTTCAGAAGACACTGTACGACTAGTAGATTTCTTTCTGCCTCTTGTTGTTTAACTGTTGAGACCTGAAACAGAATTAAATTTACAAGTCCAGCTGACAGACAATTGACACGACACAAAAACATGCAACATGCCGGGTTTTAAAAAAAAAAAAAAAAAAAAAAATCAGGGTTTTCTCACTAGACTGCACCTTGAACAGAACGAGGCTCCTACCTTCCCCTGAAAGCTTCCCCACTTAGCAGTGATGCACAAACAAAGACAGCTGGAGTATATTCACAGTAATCACTTTCAGGCTGCCCTGTTGTCTTCAAAGTGCTCAAAAGGGCATACAGGATAGGAGCGTATAACATAAAAGAAGATGATATAACACTGATTCGGCCTCAACTGGAATGGCATGCGCGATTCTTCACATTGTATATTAGGAAAGATGAAAACTTTAGAAGGTTCAGAAAAGATTTCAGAATAGTTGCAGGGAGGAGAGTGTTACGAGCTTAGATTGGAGAAGCTGCGCTCACCTTTAGAAGGAAAAGGTTACAGTGAGATTTGATAGAGGAACCCAAAATCATGAGGTGTCTGACCACAGGTGTCTGTTTTCATCAGCAGAAACATTCAAAAGCAAAGTACAAACTCAAAGCTAATCGGAAAAATGAACCAAAGAAACAAGAGGAGAAAAAGGTTATATAGAAACGAAAGCAAGTGACTTGGTTTTGAATTGCACTACCCATGGGGGTGATGGCAGTATATAATTGTGCCTTTTGAAAGGATATTGATTAAGCTTGTACAGAGAACTACATGGCCATGTTCTGCATCATAACAATTTTATGATTGCAAATGTAAGGCTGAAGCAAAACCCATAAAACCATGCAGCTGATAACGGACCCCATCAGTACAGATAGGGGAATATATTGCACTGACAAAATCCTCATCCATAATTTTTAAAGCTATACTTCAAACTTGACAGCATTCTGATTGGCAAAATGAATGAGGTCCAAATATCCAGCTACCCAAAGTAGTTATTTGGTTGCTGAAAGCTTCTTAAAAAGAAGTTATGCCAGTGGACAACTGAAGGGTCTATATTTTGATATGCAACAGTTTCTAAACAAGGATCTTTCATTTCATGGGCTGCCTAGCCATCTTCCTTGAATCACAAGCCAGTTAGGCACTTAATATTTCAGTTCCCAAACCTATACAAAAACCTGATCAAACAGCATTTCCAAATTATTTTGGTTTCAAAACTGGTTACAAAATAACTTAAGCAGATATCAAAATTAAAGTGCAAATTCTTCTTTAAAAACCAACTGGTGTATTTAATAGCATGCCTATAAAAAATCTTGTGCAATAATTTCAAAGTGCACTGGAATTACAATACATGACAAATTTTGCACTAATTCGGACACACATCACCCACACAGAGCAAGCAAGTTCTCCGTTGTGCCTGCATTAGCAGAGGAAGAACTGTAGGCCAATTCCCTGCTCATTTACAAATGGCATTTTAATAACTAGGATAACTGGTCCTCAACATAAGTGTTCCATTGAGACCATGAGATCCTAGGTAATGCAATACTGCATAGAAACATCATAGATTATGTGCTCAAACCTTGAATCCAAAACCAGAGTGCTCAAATCAGACAGAAACTCATACAGATGAAAGTGTTAGTTGATTCCATTTCACCAGCTCACAGTAACATGGCTGCAATAAGACCATAACTAGTTGTCAATGGAACTTGAAATTATGATTTTTGCAGTCTGGTTTTAATAGATGAAGTAATTCTGCACCTTTCCAGATCTGATAAACTCAAGTTTTATGATGGCACACTGTTGAACAACACAGCCAATTATTACCAAATCTTACCTTGCACTTTTCCTCCATGTCTCTGGAAAGCTGCTCCAATTTGCTCTCATAGCCACTCACTTTGGAACTTAACTGCATTCGAAGATCCTATAAATTAAAGCAAATGATATAACTCCTGTCACATTTCCGTGGTTGAAGATAATCCTAGTTTAAGCTAAAGATAAAAAAAACTAAAGCATTTGCAATCATCTTCAACCAGAGTGCCAACTTGGTGATCCATCTTGGTTTCATCCAGAGACTCCCAGCAACACAGATGCCAGTCTTCAGCCAATCTAAATCTCTCCACAGGATATTAAGAAGCATCTGAAGGTACTGGAGCCAGTTTTATGGACATGTCAGCTCACTACGCTGCGTGAACTACTCCTAATGAAGAAGTATGCTGTCCCTATCCTCTAAGGGTAGGACGTACAGGGCCTGCTTAGTGCAATGTGGGAGAGGAAAACCACTTACTGATCTAACTGAAAGAAGTATTGGTAAAGTATTAATTGCACATTAGCATCTAATTACATGTTCTGCTGAAACGCCTAGATGTTTATTACAGAGAATTTGAAAAGGAGCAAATGTTAAGTCTTGCTGCTTCGAGATCCTAAACTGCTCTGCGTACAAGTAGGACAACATCATAGTGGGTGATGCTTAACGGCATGCTTCAGTACTAACTCTTTCAGACCAATATTTAACAGAAACTATATAAAAAAAAAAAAAATCAGCCCAGACATTTTCACCAACAGTCCTGAAGACCTGTGCTCCAGAACTGGCCACACCTCTAGCCAAGCAGTTCCAGTACAACTACAAAACTGGTATCTACCCAGCAATATGGAAAATATTCCAGGTTCATCCTGCCCACAAAATACAGGATAACCTATTCAGGTATACACCCAAAATAACTTGTACTGAAATTAATGGAAGGAATCAGTGTTATCAGGCAGGATTTGTTCAGCAATAATCCACTCACTAACACACCGTTTGGACTCCGCAGGGAACCCCTGAACTTACTATAAGCTTGGTCCAAACGTCGACAAAACTAAAAGACTCCAGGTGAGAAAAGTGTGACTGCCCTTGACTTCAAGGCTTGACAGGATATGGTATCAGGAAAAAAAAATGCTCCACAGTTTACAGTCATACCTAGCCCAAAAGGATGACGGTTGTGGTTGCTAGAGGTCAATCACCTCAATCCCAGAATAGGACTGCAGAGTTCCTCAGGGTAGTGTCCTGGCCCAATCACTTTCAGGCGATTCATTGATATTTCAACTAGAAAGTCAGAAATGTGGATATTCACGGACGATTGCACAATGGTCAACACCATTCACAACTTCTCAGATACTGAAGCACTTTACATACCTATACAGAAAGACGTGGACAACATCTAGGCTTGACTGATAAGTGGCAAGTAACATTCACACCACACAAATACCAGGCAATGACCATATTCAACAAGAGAAAAATCAAACCACCTTCTCTTGACATTTAATGGCATTACTAGCGCTGATTCCTCGCTGGAGGATCAACATCCTGGAGTTTACCACTAACCAGAGGCAGAAATGGATCAGTAGTACTTGTATACAAATGCCATAGCTACAACAACAGGTCAGAGACTTTAAATTCTGCCAATAGTAACTCACTTCCTAATTCCACAAAACCTACCCACCATCTACAAAAGCGTAAATCAGGAGTAAGATGCAATAATCTTCACTTGCTTGGATTAGTGCAGTTACGCCAACACTCCAGAAATTTAATAGCATCCAGAAGAAAGTGGCCAGTTTGACTAGCAACCTTCAACATTCACACCCTTCCCCTCCAACAGTGGCTGTAGCAACATGTACCAATTACAAGATGCACTGCACTAGGTTCAATAGCATTTTCCAAATTCGTAACTTCTACCATTTGAAAAAACTTCTAGAATATTTCCTTACAGCATTGTGGTTGTTCTTGCACCAGACAGACTGCAACCATTCAAGAAGGCAGCTTAGCACCACCGTCTCAATTAGGGATGGGCTTTAAATGCTGGCCTGGCCACCCACACCCATGAAACAACAGAAATGGAAAGCAACAAGTAGATATTGAATAGTTATCCTTTGTAGACTTTTAAAAACAAATAGGTGACTCCATTACAGCTTAACAAATACGGAGAACAAATATTTGAACCATACAGCACACTTAAGACCCAGATTCAATCCCTTGGTGATTTTTTACACAAACTAGGCAAGTCAACAAAGGGTTCACACAGAATTGCTACCCAGTGACCCCTGCCAGAAGCACAATATTACAAATTGCATACAGGATCATGCTTAATGTCATGGATGGTTGAATAATCTAACCCAATCAAACTGACATAAAGAGGTCACATATGGATAATATCAGCAACCAGACCATCTGTCAACACAATCAGGATGCAAAGGAGAATGAAAAAAGTACAGTAAAAAGAATTTGCTTGATTCTATGCAAACAATTACCTGAACTTGTTCATTGGCATTATCCAAATAACCTTGCAAGGCTTTATTCTCTCCACGCAGATCCTCGATTAGAGCTGGTCAATAAAAAAAATCCTGTTAATATAATCTTTTATGGAATAGGAAGAAACAATTTCATAGTGGCATATACCCACTTATGCCCTGAATGAAGACAAAGCGATTACTCTCTCCTTGATAAACATTAAAAGAACTAGTTTCTTTTTCTGACCCACAACTTGACTAACACAAATTTTACTAAATCCCAAGTAGAAATAAGACTTACTGTGTGTTTTGCTGGGCGTTGGGGTGGGGGGATGGGGAGAGTATGGAGAAAAGCAGTGAAGGAGAGGAAGCAACTTTCAGGCAAGTTAGTGCATATGAATTTCATTGGTCAAAATATTTATTACGGCAAAGTAATTGCAAGGAGACAAAGTAAAAAGTATCCAGCACCCCCAAATGGGAGATCTCCACCAGTTCAATTCACTGCATGTGATAAGAGGCACAGCTGAAGGCACTGGATACTACAAAGAATATGGGCCCTGACAAATTTTCAGCAAAAGTACAGGAAATCTGCCTTCCAGAACTTCCTGTACCTCAGACAAGCTGTTTTGGTACAACCAAAAGACTGATATTTACCCAATGTGAAAAATTGCCCATTTTGTCCTGTACACAAAATGCAGGACAAATCCAACACGGCCAATTACTGCCCCATCTGTCTGCTCTCATTCGTCACAAAAGTGATGGAAACGATCATCAGCAGTGATATCAAGCAATACTTGCTTAGCAATAACCTGCTAATTGATGCCCAGTTTGAGTTCACGCAACTGCAAAAGGGCTGAATGCCAGAGAAAGGGAGTGATTGCCCTGAAGGCAGCATTCAACCGAGTTTGGCAAGAAGAAGCCGCAGCAAAACTACAGTGAATGGGAATCTGAGGAATAGGTAGAGACGAGGCAGAGAGAGAGAGAAATGAGAAGCAGAATGATTGTTTTTAAGTTGGGAGAGAGTTAAATGCTGAAAGCATGTTAATGTGAAGTGTGAATAGATAAAAATAGGTTGACTGCACTGGGAGCAACCCATGTAGAACAGGACTGGAGGATGCAGGAGTAGCTAATGAACAACAGGGAAGCAGTTCATGCATTGAAATTGTTAACCTCAATGTTGAGTCCCAAGGGCTGCAAGTTACCTACTTGAAAGATGAGATGTACCTTAGCTGCTTCATCAATTCCCTCCCATCTATCATTAAGTCAGAAAGGGGGTTGTTCACTGACAATTGCACAATGTCCAGCATCATTCGCGACTCCTCAAATACTGAAGCAGTCCATTTTCAAATGTATCAAGACCTGGGCAATATTGAGGCTTGGGCTGATATTTGTGTCACTCAATTGCCAGACAAAGACAACCTCCAACAAGAGAGAATCTAATCATCACTGCAAGACATCAATGATATTACATTGCCAAATCTTCCACTATCAATATCCTGGAGGTTACCATTGACCCAAGAACTGAACTGGATCAGCCATGTAAATACTATGACCACAAGGCAGCTGAGAGGCTAGGGATGTTGTAGCACATTATCAATTCTTGACATGGGGAGGAGGTGGTGTAATGCTAATGTCACTGGACTAGTGATCCAAAATTCTTGGCTAATTTTCCAGGGTTATGGATTCAAATAACATAATAGTACAGTGAAATTCATTTAAAAGAAAAGAGGGTCTGGAATTAAAAATAAAGTTAGCCTAATGGCAACAATATAACAATTGTCGGTTGTCATAAAAACATATATAGTTCATTAATGTCTTTTAGGGAAGGACTTCTGGGCTCTTATCTAGTGTGGCCTACATTTGCCTCCAGCCTCACAGCAATAAGTGCGCATAAATTCTGGACCAGCTAGCCATGCCAACATTCCACAGACGAATGAAAGAACTCCCCAAAGCTGTCCACGATGCCCATGTCTAGAGTGTGATGGAAGGAAGATCCAACAACACTCAAGAACCTTGACACCATCCAGGTCAAAGCAGCTGATTTGATTGGCACCACAATCATTCAGCTCTCTCACAGCTGACACTCAATAGCAGCAGTGTACACCATCTATAAAATGCTGTGCAGAAATTCATCGAGGCTCCCTAAACAACAAACACATGACTACTACTATCTGGAAGGAAAAGGACAGAAGATATATGGAAACAACACATCCTACAAGTTTTCATCTAAGCCACTCACCAACCTGATTTGGAAATATATTGATGTTCCTTCAGAGTCATTGGGTCAAAATTCTGGAACTCCCTCCCTAACAGCACCATGGGTTTACCTACTCCAAATGGATGGCAGTAGTTCACCACCACCTTTTCCAGGGCAAAAAGGGAGAGGCGATAAATGCTAGCCCAGTCAGTGACACCCACAACCCTCTGAATGAATAAATGAAATTCTCTGTAAACAAGGATGGTTGAATCAGTGAATTGTCTTGAGCATTACCATGGAATCTATCCATTTCAACTTCCAGGCTCTCGTTATGGGCTTTAGCTTCCTGATGCATCTCCTCTGTTGGAAGAATGAAGACAATGCAACTTATTCCAGCCTCAGGTAGACATGATGCGCAATTGAGAATACAATGCTGTAAAATTGCCAGAGTTCCAGGGTTAACGGTTTGAAACCCAAACTGCTGTAAAATGTGCATGCTGCAAAATACCTGTATGTCCAAAAAGTATATCATGTTTTATCATCTTAAAGGAAAAAAAAAATCAACAAAATTTAACTAGCTGCTTCAATTTAAGCGTTTCATGATTGAGAACATACCTAGTGATCCATTTCTTTCTTGCAATGCTGCAACTGTAGCCTTTGAAGCTTCCAGGTCAGCTTGCAGAAGTTTCACCTGACCTTCCAAACTAATCTGAAGATAGCTGATCTCCTGTAATATAGGACTTAGTCAGATATAAAACATTCACAGGGATCTCAGATAAAACATAGCCATGGATAGTATTGAAATAGGAGAGGAATAGCATGCAAATGTGCTCTGCAACTGTGTGATGTTTGGCAAGAGGGACCAGATACCCAAAAAGAGCAGCAAATATATGGGAACAGCATCAAATGTACATTTCTCTCCAAGTCACCCACCATCCTAACTTGGAACTATATTGATGCTCTTTATTGGTTGCTGGGTCAAAATCCTGAAAGGCCCTCCTGAAAATATTGTGGCTGTTTCTACACTTAAAAGAACCGCACAAGTCGAAGAAAGCAACACAACATCAACTTCTCAGAGGCAATTAGGAATGCTTGAATTCTAATTAATTATTCAATAATTGCTAGCTTAGCCAGTGATATTTCTATTCCCTGAATAAATAAAAGGGAAATCTGACATTGAGCACCATCACTTAACCGACTCCAAATTTTAGTTACCTTGGCCCAAATTCAGATGAAAAATACATACATTTTTATGCAGTTCTCAAAGAAATATTCAGATTTGGGGCAATACATGGCAAGCAACATCCACACCACACAAGTGCCAGGCAATAACCATTTCCAGCTAGAAAAAAATCTAACTATCACCCCTTGCAATTACTCGATTCCCCTACTATTAACCTCCCAGCGATTTTCATTGACAATAAATTGAACTGCAGTCGTATAAATATTGTGAAGACAAGAGCAGGTGCAAGCTGGGAATTCTACACTGGGCAGCTCATCTCTCAACTCCGGAAAATATTTCTATTCAGAAAGATGTGAATGACACATCCCAAAAAGGTTTACTACTGTTTTTATAATTATTCTAAATTCTCGCTCTAATTCTTAGATTGAGTTACTGAAATACCAGGATATTTTACATGTCCCATCACAGTCATGCAAAAAGACAATGACATGCCATTAATCCATGAAACAAAAGATATTACAGGCAGTTTGATTGTCTATTAGATTGTGAGAAATAGAAAACAATGAAAGGTATGGGAATTGAAGACAAATAAAGTGTCTGAATATTTTACATATGAGCTTTAAGGACAAGTGAAATAAATGCTCCATAATACATGTGAAGTTAGCATTGTATGCTCAGATAAATCATACCTTCAGGATTTCCTGCCCCTGGGAAATTAGAAAATAAAATTTACTAAGATTGATTACAACTTTGAGAAGATTTGTAGCTCAAGTTGTGGATGAGGTCGTAGGCATGCTCGCTGAGCCGGTGGGTTTGGTTGCAAATGTTTCATCACCCTGCTAGGTAACATTGTCAGTGCCTCCGGCGAATCGTTGGTGTTCTGTTCAACTTGTTATTTATATGCCTCAATTTGTTGGGGTGTTTGGTACCACTTCCGGTTCTGTTTTTCAGTGGCTTGTACACAGGGTCTAATTCAATGCATTTGTTGATGGAGTTCTGGTTAAAACACCAGGCCTCCAGGAATTTCCTGGTGTGTCTCTGTTTGGCTTATGTAATTATGGATGTGTTGCCCCAGTCAAATTTGTATCCCTCTTTGTCAGTGTGTAGTGAGAATTGGTGGTGTCTAGTTGCTGCTTGTGTATCCGTATTGTCAGTTTTCTTCCGGTTTGGCCTAGGTAGTGTTTCTCACAGTCCTTGCATGCTATTTTGTATATTACATCGGTTTTGCTGGTTTTGGGTATGGGATCCTTTATGTTCATTAGTAACTGTTGTAGCATGGTGTTTGGTTTGTGGGCTACCCTGATACCTGGGGGTCTGAGTAGTCTTGTGGTCATCTCTTAAATGCCTTTGATGTACGGTAGGGTGATTAATGAGTCTGGTCGTGTTGTGTCTTCCTGTTGTGGTCTGTTCTCAGAGGTAACGGCGGATTGTGCTTTTCGGGGATCCATTCCTTTTTGAAGACTCTGTATAGGTGCTCCTGTTCTGCTTTGCATAATTCTGGGGTGCTGCAATGTGTTGTAGCTTGTTTAAATAGTGCCCTGATGCAGCTCCGTTTGCAGGTGTTGGGGTGGTTGCTAGTGTAGTTGAGTATCTGGTCCATATGTGTCGTCTTCCTATATATGCTAATCTGGAGTTCCTCGTTGTTTTTGCGTTCTACCATTATGTCCAGGAAGGGTAGTCAGTTTTGTTCTCCTCTTCTTTTGAGAATTTTATCCTGGTGAGCATGTTGTTTGTGTGTTGATGGATTTCTTCTAGTTTTGTGCATTTGATAATCATGAAAGTATCATCTACATATCGAACCCAAAAGTTTGGGTTGTATAGTGGGGAGCGCTGTCCATTCTAACTTTTGCATTACTGCTTCTGCAATCAGTCCTGATACTGGGGACCCCACTGGTTTTCCGTTGATTTGTTCGTTTATGCCGTCGTTGAAGGTGAAGTGGGTTGCGAGGGACAGGTCTAGTGGTTTCATGGTGGTGTCCTTATGTTGTTGTTGTTGTCCTGGGGTGCCTGCCTATTTGATTCATCCAGCAGCGTGGTAATTGTCTCTTCGGTTAGGTCGATGTTTATGGGTGTAAATAATGCTGTTACATTGAAGGATATCATTATCTCGTCCTCTTCTATCCTGGTGTCCTTGATGATCTTGAGGAATTCTTGGGAGGAGTGGATGGAGCGGGTAGTGTTGTCAACTAAGTATTCCAATTCCTATTCTTTGGCAACCCCGTTGTATGTTGGTAAGCCTGGTAGTGAGATGATGGGTCTAAGGGTGACTTCCGGTTTGTGTGCCTTGAGGAGTCAGTAGAAGCGGGGTGTGTTGGATCCCTCTGGCTTCACTTTTTTTGGTAGTCTGTCTTGCTGATGTCTCCTGAATTGTGAAATTTCTTCAAAGGTCTAGTAATCCAGTTCCCTAACTGTGCTGTCGGGTCTATCGCCATCTGTTGGACCAGATACTCACTTACACTAGCAACCACCCCAACGCCCATAAATGGAGCTGCATCAGGACACTATTTAAACCAACCGCAACACATTGCAGCAACCTGGAACTACACAGAGCAGAACAGGAGCACGTATGCGGAGTCTTCAAAAGGAATGGATACCCGAAAAGCACAATCCACTGTTACCTCCGAGAACAGACCACAACAGGAAGACACAGCATGACCAGACTCATTAATCACCCTACCGTACATCAAGGACATTTCAGAGATGACCACAAAACTACTCAGACCTCTAGGTATCACGGTAGCCAACAAACCAAACACCACCCTCCGACAGCTACTAACAAACGTAAAGGATCCCATACCCAAAACCAGCAAAACCGGTGTAATATACAAAACACCATGCAAGGACTGTGAGAAACATTATCTAGGCTAAACCAGAAGAAAACTGACAATATAGATACACAAACACCGACTAGCCACCAAGACACACGACCAATTCTCACTTGTCTCACTACACATGGACAAAAGAGGGACACGAACTTGACTGGGACAACACGTCCATAATCCACAAGCCAAACAGAGGCATGCCAGGGAATTCCTGGGGGCCTGTATTCTAACCAGAACTCCATCAACAAACACATTGAATTAGACCGTCTGAACAAACCACTGTAAAACAGAACCGGAAGTGGTACCAAACAGTCCAACAAACTGAAGCATACAAATAACAAGCAGGACAGAACACCAATGCTTCATTGGAGGCACGCTGATAATATTACCTAGCAGGGTGACGAAACGTTTGCAACCAAACCCACTGGCTCAGCGAGCATATCTACAACCTCAAAGATTACAATGTTGGCATAATTTGCAAGACTTCAGTATCCGAAGAGTGGAAGGGTTTGGGGGAAGGCAGAGTCATGCCTCAGCTGGTTTGAGTCAGAAATCACTAACCACATAGTACAGAAAAATTCAAGCTTAATCTCCGTTACTCAGTTACAAGTTGGGGATTGGTGTTACAATTCTCTTCCACTTAAGTTTTGAAAATGGTGAAAAGAGAAGAACTGTGAAGAAGCAGATGGAATACGATGAAATATGAAGTCACCCATTTCCATAAAAAAAATTCCTTTTTAAATAGAATGAGAAACACTATCAGTGAGTGCCTTTGAATACTTAGGGCTGCAGCATTGGTGACAGCAATGTTTAAGTGGTGTAGGAGTGCGTGAGTGCGAGGGAGAGAGGAAGAAAGAGAGGGAGAGGAAGAAAGGTTGTCTCTACACCTCTGCTTAAGCAAAAAGGGCAAAGTTGGTTCAATGAGCTAATTCTGCATCTTGGCATTTTTCTTTAAAGCACATCTTTATTGATTAACTTTTTTTAAAATAGTTAATTTATTGCGTTGACTCTTTCCTTGTTCAGGTGAGTCGAATCCAGGTCTCAGAGCCCCATTCAGGAAATTGCATACTTCCTTCATACCCCAACTTTTATTTCTAAATTCACGTCTCATGTGGTGTCAAACTTTATTTTTGAAATTTGCTCAACAGCCTTTTAAGTAAGAACAAAAAATGTGATCCTCATCCAGAACAAAATTGGTCAGCCCCGCAGTTCGTACATCACAAAATCGACATGTAGGTACCAAAAGTAATGAGGAAACAAAAAAACATAAGCCAGTGTTAAGAGGAAAGTTGACTTATTACAATTAATTAGGACATTGGTAAGGCTACACCTGGAGAACTATGTACAAGTGAATATAACTTTAGTACACTTCATGGATCCCGGAATTAAGTGATTGGCCTCAGAGGACAGCTCAAGTGGATCAGGTTCAGCATTGACAGATGACCTTAAAAATGCCTCAGGGGTTGGTCAAGACAGATTTTCCTTCCCCCATCTGGGGAATCTAGTATTAGTGAGCCATGAAATAAGACTGAGAACAGGTCAACCATTTAAGGCTGAGGTGAAGAAAAGTTTCTTCATTCAAAGCAATATGACCAGGGATTTCTCTGTCCCAGAAATGCTCAGTTGTTGAGATGGTTCAAGGCATGTGATAAAACTTAAGGGATCAAAGAATTGGAGATATAGCAGGAAGGTCGAGTTGAGCTAAGAACCAGCCATAACCACATATGACAGGACAGGATTTAAAAGGGACAAATAGTCTATTCTGGCTTTTATTTATATTGCTTGTATGAACAGAGATTTAGGGGGCTGTGTACATGCAGAAGTCATTATAAACTAGTGGTCACTTACTAAAATTCTAATAAAATATCACTACCTCAAAGAGCTGAAGCATGAATAGATAATTTACTCTCAAACTTGCAGCATTAAATTATATACATTTTACAAAGAGATACAAGATGTGAACTTTACTACCAGATTAACCTCCTTCATAATGTTCCTGTCATCTATCAAGAGTGAAAGATGGTGGATGTCTGCATATTTTAATATCAACAGCATTGATTCACAGACTGTCTCCTGGATGAAATTACAGTCATTTAGCACCTCAAGCCTGTTCTGCCATTCAATGACAATAATAGCTGATCTGTTTCTCAACTCTAGCTACATACATGGCTCCAAACCTTCAGTAAACTTTCCTATTATAAATCAACCACTCAGGGATTACATCTTCAAGAGACTCCAAATGGCAGCACTTTTTTTTTGAAAAACCTGGCAGGAGGGTGGTTTAGTGGTGGTGGCAGGGGAGGAAAATAAGTTCAGACTTATCCCAAAAAACAAAATGCCAACATCATCCCTCCAAACCATTTAGTAAAGCTTCAAATACCTTGTCCTTGGCATCAGTTTTATTCTTTACTTCAATCAACTCTAAGCACAGGGCATTAATTTTCTTCTTGGTACAATCATCAGAAAACTGAAGGAAACAAAAAGCAAATATTGCACTCAGGGCACTAATGCAGTTTCTTCTTTAGAAATGATTGGCAATTATGAAATGGATGGTATTCTATTCTTATAAGATGCCATTCTTATTTAATATACCATTTTGCACTAAACACCAAATTCAGGACACAAATACCCAATCACGGAAGGCATACTTAACTTTCAGTATTTAAGAAAAAAAATCAACTTGAAACATTAATTTTCTCTATTCCAAGATGCTGCTTGACCTGTTGGGAGTATTTCCAGCATTTACAGCCCTATAAACATTCGCAAATCAATTTATTCCAATAAGATTAAATATATAAGACACAAGATATATTATTTAATAAATAACAATAACAAATAATAAAAATACAAAAATAAAATGAACAGATCTGAATGTTACACTGTACATAAAAACGCTTTCCATTGGTGTCCAGTTAAATGGGACACCTATCACATGGTGTCATTTTTATCTAATTGTTGCCAGAGTATCTCTTCTAATGACGTTTCCTACACCATTACTTCTGGTGTCCTCCAAGAATAGATACTTGAACCCTCCTTATTTTCCATCTATATACTGCTCCTTGGAAACATCATCCAAAGGCAGGACATTAGTTTTCACATATAAACTGAAGACGTCCAGACTACCTTACTATCACCTTTTAATTTCGGTGTTGCTAAATTTTCAGGCTGCTTATCCAATGTTGTGTGTAACATCAAGGATCCCTAGCAAAACCGGAGGCAATCGGAATCCGGGGGAAATGTCTCTAGTGTCTGGAGACACATTTGTTTCAAAAATAAGATGATTGTAAGAGGTCAGTAATTTCAGCTCCAGGACATTTCAACAGGAGCACCTTAGGATTGATATTTTATTATACACCTCTGGTGCAGGCAGAATTTGAACGCAGACCTCCTGGCTCAGAAATTGGGACACTACCACTATGCTGCAACACTCTTTTTCCATGGTGGAATCAAGCATGGCTCTTGTGTGAAAGAATATTGTACGTTCTCAAGACTTTCAGATGTATCATTTGGGACAATAGCTGATCTCTAGCAGGTGACACTACATACGCAAAGCAGACACGTTAACTGTTCAGTGGTACCACCTTAGCTTAGTGGGACAGCATAGTGGCTAAGTGGTTAGCACTGATGCCTCATGGCACCAGGAACCAGGTTCGATTCCAAACTTGGGCGACTATCTATCTGTGTGGAGTTCATATATTCTCCTCATGTTTACGTGGGTTCCCTCCAGGTGGTCTGGTTTGCTCCCATACTCCACAGTCCAAAGATTTGCAGGTTGGGTGGACTGGCCATGCGAATTTGCCCATAGTATCTAGGGATGTGTAGGTTAGCTGTGGGAAATGCAGGATTACAGGGTTAGGGATGGGTTTGGGCGGGATGCCCTTCGGAGGGTCAGTGTGGACTCGATGGGTCGAATGGCCTGTTCCCACACTGCAGGGATCCTATGATTCTTATCTATGAAATTTGTAAGCTAAGCAGGATAAACTGTTACAAAACAGGACAATCTTATAAAATGATTACCACTTTAAAGACTGAAATGAGGAGACAGCAGGAAGTGACATCACTAAGATGACCACGACTTTTAAAGAAACCAACAAGGAACTGGACATGCATTGCTTAGTTAGTCTAAGATTGACCATGAACTGATCATGCACTAGTAAGCCAAAGACAGTTTAGGTTGTTTTTGATCAAGCACAGGGAAAGTGGCTAGTAAAGCTTAAGAATGCCTGGGCTTTAGTAGATGTACAAGGAGGAAGGCCAAAGACAGCAGGATTTCAGTCAATAAAATGTAAGTGGCCAAATTTAACCAGCATTGTTACTTGGCATTCTAATGTGGATAGATAGCAAACCACTGCTTTTATTGAGTATCATTTCCTTGTACTTGTTATGATACACTTAATAAACAACATAAAACTTGGATATATATATCCATCTGGACTACCTCTTGAAACGAAGGACTAGTAAACTTTAGACTGACTTTGAAAGAGCCAGTCTGTAATTGTAATTGATTTAGATTGATTTACAATTAAAGTTGTAACCCAAAGTCTTAAATTAGACAATCAGCACAAGAGTATTCTTTCTCAAGTACAGATATACATGACAACAAAAAAAAATTAATGTTATAGTGTCAAATGCTCCAGGGGAAGGGATCACAGGGCACAATACCTTTGTTTTCAGTAACTCATTGGCTTTGTGAAGATCAGCAAGCTGTCTTTCTAGGGAAGCAACATTTGACGTCAGGGATGTTTTCTCTCTCGTTGCTGCAGTTAGTTTACTTTCAATTTTTTTCAGCTCCTCTTCCAAGGTCTGCAGTCTTTTGTCCTGTTCCCCACGCTGTTGCAGCAGGCATCGGATCTACAATTGTACATAAATTTTATATGAGCATTTTCCAATATGAAAGGCATATTACATAAGTATTAGTCTTCATAGATGCAAAGTAAACTGCTCTTCACTGCCATTCCAAAAAATATTTTCCTGCATTTATCATGTACAGATTACAAATGTTCAATCATTGGCTGAAGATATGAAAAACTGAAGGACCAAAGGATTGAAAGAATCTGACAATAATTACAGAAATTCTGTACAAAGTACTTGCTAAATGAAAATTTCTTGTGAAAACACTCAGAAGTTTAGTAATTAGCTGAGCCAAATAGAGAAAGAAGGAATTTTTGAATTAACCATGTCAATGCAAAGCCCCAAGCCATTTAGAAGAGGGGAGCTAAGCAAATTGACAAGAGCTAAGATAGCAGTTGTGAATGGGTTGAACTAGTTTAGAATATATTGAAACTACTCGGTCAGGCTTTTCGCCAACATGAGAGAAACTAAACACTGCCCCATGATATTCAAAGTCATTACAATCACTGAATCCCCACCCATCAATATCCTGGGAGTAAACGTTCTTTACCAAACTGAATCAACATCTAAGTACTGTAGCTACAAGATCTGATTGGAGGCGAAGAATTTTGCAGCAAGCACACTACTACAACTTCCCAAAGCCTGTCTACCACCTATAAGTAATTAGTCAGGGTAATGATGGAATACTTCCCACTTGTCTAAAAGAGTGCAACTCCAACAATCCTCAAAGACTGACACTATCTGGATCAAAGCAGCCTGCTTGACAGGTCAGCTGACACACCGCAAGTTCCCCTCAAAGCTAAACATCACTCTGACATGAAGCTATATCTCAGTTCCTTCATAGTGCTGGATCAAAAGTTAGTGCCTAACAGCATTTTGTATACCTACACCATGCTGAATCAATAGTTCAAGAAAGCAGCTTACTACCGGCTCCTCAACGCCAATTAGGGATGGGCAATAAATGCTGAAGTCCTATTTTTAAAAAACAACTTTATCTGTGGCATGATCAACTGTAATGGCATCACTCCACCTACTTGAGAAGCACTTGAATACCAGCCTCATTTCTTCCCTCACCCGTGAAACCCCCAAATGAGCATCCACAGCTTTTACCCCACTGGCCAAAGGTAAATAATCACATTCGGAGAGTGAAACTGGCCTTGGGAAATTGTAAAATCCTCCAAATCAGTACTAATTGCTTAAGCATACTCCATCCCCTCTATCCTTCATTAGCCCATAATCTCACACCCATTCTTGCATCCGGGTTGTTAACCTTTCACCCTCTTCCTGCTTTACCTGAATACAACACTCAGTCCCAACTTCCTGTGTAACAGAAGGCTTTCATTACTGTCTAGCATTACTGTATGGTATTAACTGTGGGGAATCACCTGAAAAATCAAGCAACTCCATTATTTTTGCTGCTACTATCCCATTTCTCAGTGTTACTTTTAATAGCTAAAATAGATGGCAGATTTTTTTGTCAATGCTAATTATTGTTAACGTGTACTTGCCTCTTGTTCCAACATTTTCTGCTTTTTAAGCTCCAAAGCCAAGGTAGCATCCTTCTGCAAATTGTTATAAAGGCAATTCAAACAAGAAACACTCCCATTAAAAATTAACAATACGCCACATTTGAAAATAACATTAACAGGCATGTCTATAGAAAGTGCTTCATTGTGGCACAAAATGCTGTCATTATCACCAACCTTCAGCTTGTAACTGAATTGTGGAAATCAAATTCGTAATAATTTTGAGGTCTGAATTTAATAACAGTAAGCAACAGGAGCCTCAGATCAGCCAAGACTAACACTTTGATTTTTTCCGTGAAACATTCTCTCAGACAAGTTTTAAAATATTGAAACCAAGATGCAGGACTTTAGGGCAGGCCAACAGTTACAGTCTGAGATTATTTAAGCACAGATACAATTATTTTGTGTTACAGACCTCCACAGGTTACATCAGTAAACTTTTGGTCCTCAAGAAAATAAATAATTTTCATCATCTCAGGTAACCCAGTGATATTTATTCAGTGCCAACCTAACTAGCTGTTAACTGTTGGTACAGGTTTACTTGCCTTTTGTTACATCTTTTCTGAGTTATTTGACTCACTGAGCCAAAATAAATTAGGAGGAACCAAATAAGAGCTCCTATTGACAGCAAACTGTCATTAAACATCTTTATCATAGGCATAACACATACAATCTGCTCCACAATTCAATAAGATCATGGCAGAATCTGTACAGTTTTCTGTGAAGTTTCTTTCCAAGGTTGTACTGTTGCTGGTTTTCTAGCCCGGATTTAAGGAGCATCTTCTCCACTAGCATCCATTGTCAAGGGCACAAATTACTGGTATTGGTATGCATTGACCAATGAACACCTGTGCACAGTGAGAACCAGCTCCATAGGCCAAAATTCATCAAGCCAGCAGAGATGGAGTTACTCATGATGCACAGTCCCAAACTAAGCACCTTTCATACCAGCAAATATGTAAAGCATTCAATAGCAAAGAGACAATTAATCATTTTTTTAAAAATTGCTATTCTTATCTACAACCATTACATAAACCTAATCATGTCTACAAGTGTCAAACAATGCTAGAGTTAAAATCTACTACATTCAGAGCCAAATAATTTTTTAAATGCATTTTAAGTAATTCAATTAACTAGTTTTACTAACCGCTCCAAAGTTGAGATTCTTCCGTGAACTTGGTGATATCAGACCCTTCTCAGTTTCAACAACCACCTGAGGGTTTCCTGTATCTGGAAAAAAAACATGATTGGAGGAATAATGCACTGTACATCCACTGTATCAGCAGGTTTTGGCAACATAAAAGACCGAAAAATTTATTTTTGTACTCTAACTATTGAGAATAATTCATCACTCATTCCTCACCCCCACTGTACTCAGCTGCCTGCAGCTGACTGATAAATAGGGAGGATACACCTTAAGTCTCACATCAGTCCACACATCACAGTTCCATATTTGTCCTCAACACCAACTTGACCATTGACAAATCCAAAAGTCCTTTAAAAAAGGATTTGATCGCCAATTAGGTGCCAAAGCTAGATGTAAGAAAGCAAAGGAAATCTATAGCAGCTTATCTGGGATGACAATACTTGTTTATTGTACCAATCACCTTGGCTTGGTAAAACATTGCTGCGATGATACTCACACAGAATTTAGTTATATAAAAACATATCAGGTTGCATTCTTACTTGAAACTAGTAAATACATTTCTGGAATTGCAGAATCCTATGAATACTCTGCAATTATTTTAAATATAATTGTGTTTAATAGCCATCATAACAGCAGCCTGTAAAATGAAAATCATTTAGATTCACCCATGGTCAAAGTAACATAGCTGACATTGAAACGAAAATATACAGGTACAGAAGGTGCTGTATCACATATTTGATTGAAAGCTTTCTGCTTAAGTGATTGCTGTCATTAGGTAGTGATTTTTGTAGTGATTTAGGTATTTGTATTAGGCCAGCTATAAATAAGGCTTTATTTCGCTATTTGTTTTTAGTATATGGGTGGCATTGTTTATCATCCACCTTAGTGGGATAGTTCCACCTATTGCTAGAGCAGTATCATAAGCATTCCATTGCCCTTATGTTTAAGGGAGCAAGTTTCAAATTTTAAGTGATTACAGAACAATGACTGCTCTGCTACCCCAGAATCCTGAAGAAATTGCTTTAACTACATCAGACAAACAGTACTCCTACCTTTGTGCTTTTTAAATCGGTGCGCTTTTTCAAAAGATACAGGACCCTTGGAACCCTCCACCTCTTTAATATCATAGTGACCTGGTGCAGGCGCACAGCCTAAAACAGGAAAGCAATTCAACAATGACAGGAACGAGCGTGTTTTTACAACTGTAAAGCAATTTAAAGTCAACACGATTATAGCACAGAAATAATTTCATTTTTAAACAAGACAGATTAGACTACAGATGAAGTATTGCATGCAGCACTGGTCACAGGATCATATAGCATTGCAGACCTGGAAAGACAACATTATATGTGATGAAATCCTCCTGTTGTATCCATGTACTCAGCACAACAGAACTCTTGATAGTAGGAACTGCAGATGCTGGAGAATCCGAGACAACAAGGTGCAGGGCTGGATGAACACAGCAGGCCAAGCAGCATC